CTCAGATGAGTCCCACCGTTCAGTACACAGTAACGGAGAACAACACAGCCACAATCAGTAGCGGTGCTGCAGTGCGCATCCACACAGGACTGATACTGCTGTCAACATTAGCCTTGTTCTGCATATTAGAGGCAATAGAGGTGATCTCTGCATTGGGTACAGTAGATGGAGTGGTGGTTGGTGCGTCACTGACATTGTTCTCGGGGCTCGGTGGAGTAGTGTGATTGGTTTCTTCTGTGTCTGGTGCGACAGTTTCATCAACATTTGCAGGAGATGATTGCTGGGTAAGAGTACTTTTACCAACTGCACTGTTATCCCCTTTGGTATTGGATGAACTTTGGATATCTTGTGGTGCTACATTAGACTCTTGAGTTGTGCTTTGTATTGTTGTGGTACTCGCTCCTTTTTGTGCTTCAACTACCTCTGCGTCAGTTATACTTGGAGATGCTGATCTTTTACTGTTCTCGTGTTCTCCACTTTGTGGGTGGTTGTCCGCGACATTATTTAGACTAGCACTCGTCGTGGTAGTATTTGTAGTTTTTCCTTGTTGTGCCAATGGGTGTCCTGGTTCTGTTTTCACTTCTGATAGTGGTGTATCTTTCCCAGTTCCTGTAACCTCTCCAGCTAAATCTTGTTTTTCTTTATCTCCTTTCATTTGATCTAGTTCTTCCGCTTTTGGGGGTACATGAGAAACAACAGAATTAACATGAACTTGCTCTCGAAGATGTTGCGAGTCTGCATTTCCATGGGAGAATGAAGTGTGACTACCACTTCCGTTCTGCTTTTTTTTTTCCAACCACTGTGAACAAAATTTTTTGTTCTCTTCGGCAACATCTCCCAAACAAACAGCGACCTCTTTCACTGCATCTCCATCCCACGCAGAATACAATCCAGTACCGCCAAAGGTAGTATCACCCAATGCTTTCCATGAACGGCTGTTTTCCCGACCATCAACGGGATCAGTTTGCGGCGCTGATGACTTCATACGAGAATCTTCAGCAGGATGGTCCCCATTCGTTATGCCCTCCCCCGGACCAGATGTAACTTCATGATTCTGTACGTGTTGTTCTTGTTGTTGCAGTCGGTTTGTATCGTTCGGAGTCTTCGTTTTCTCTTCCTCCTTTTTAGGTTTTTGATAAAAACCCTTCTCGAATTCTTCAAAAACAGTTCCATCACGAGGAAAATTGTCAAACGCCATCACCGCCTTTGGTTGTCCATTAGCAGTAGTAGTAGTAATCCTTGTTGTGGTTGCTGCTCTTGCGGTACGCTGGCGGCAGAGGTCTGCGTACTTCCCACATGCAGACACACGGCTGCCCGCACCGCATGTAAGCCACTCGCTCTCAGCAGCGGGGCGTACACGCAGCGCACCGCCGGCCCCGCACGACACCTCCACAGCCCCACGGGATACACCACGGCCACTGGGACTGTCATTATCAACAGCAGCAGCAGCCGCCATGGTATACCCGCAGGCACAGCACAGCACAACGGCCAACACACACATCACACGGCACATCATCATCATCATCATGAGAGAGAGAATAGTTTGTTTCACGTAAAAACACTGATCTAGAAAGAAAGACAATCAAAAAGCAACAAATAAAAAATAAATGAAGTATCAAACATGTTAGGACACACAAATCTATTAACACAAGGGAAACTTACATCGCAAAAGGAAATACACACCAGTTAAGTTATGAAATAAAGCGCAATAACCTCAGTAAGAGTAAAAACAAAAAAAAAGCCCACATTCACAAATATCTCAAAAAAGGCTTAACCACCCCAGCAAAATCATCAAGCAAACAAATAAAGATATTAACTATTAGCCCAATTTACCCAGTAAACACAGAAATATACACCAACTACGGGTGTATGTCTATGTGTGTATACGCAATTATAAATATAAATTCATCTGTTATTATTATTATTTCCTTTTCCCTTTCACTGCAAAAAACAGTTCATCATCATCACAGTGCAAGCCCAGGCACACACAGAGAGAGTCTCCAAGAACACACACACACAAAATGGAGTAGCAATAATAATTATTATAGGATAAACGCACAGAGAGCAAAAAGACACACAAAACACATTAACATTAAGAAACAAAA